TCTAAAGCAGCACATCGGCGCCTGAGGTGGGGCTGGAGGAGGGGGAGGAGGAGAGAAAGGAGGGAGGAGGAGGGGGAGGAGGAGGACGACGACGGTGAGGAGGAGGGGGGAGGATCGGGATGGGGGAGGAGGAGGAGGAGGAGGAGGAGGAGGAGGAGGAGGAGGAGGAGGAGGAGGAGGAGGATGAGGGGGACGAGGAGGAGTTCTGGAGTTCTGGGTGTAGCGACCAGGTCGGATCGAAAAGCCTCTGAAAGCCTCAGAAAGCCCCGCCCACTCAGAAGACCTCGGAGAAGAGCGAAAATCGGATTGCCTCTAGCACATTACTCAGATCACCATGCGGACCACGACGACCTGGAACCCTGCCAAGACGCGCATGTGACCTCAATGTGGCGAGCACCATTCACTTCGAACACAGAGTCAACACGTGGCCAGAAAAAACCTTCAGGAAGCTGGACAAACGAGTACGACATGGTTCGTACACCTGCGTCGCCTCGGACATTAGCTATGCTGCTACCCACCCTGCCAGAGCCGCACGTGAGCAAGACCGACTCCTCAGACCCTCCCAACCGAAACTCAGGAAAATATATCCCTCCTTCGTAATGCAGGAGAGATACAACATGGACTTGCGCCGTTCCGCCACAACTGTGCGCACCAACGGTTCCAGAACACCTGACCAACCTACAAGGTGGAGAAGGAGGAGGAGGAGGAGGAGGAGGAGGAGGAGGAGGAGATGGAGGAGGAGGAGGAGGCGGACGATGACGACGACGACGACGATGAGGACGAGGGCGCGGACGAGGAAGAGGAGGAGGAGGAGGAGGAGGAGGAGGAGGAGCAGGAGGAGGAGGAGGAGGAGGAGGAGGAGGGCGCCATCGACAGGGAAGGTGAGGGCCACGAGGTCCGCAGGCTCGACGCCCGCGTCGCCCGCGCCCGCCCCCTCACTCTTATCCGCAATTGCGGGGTGCTACGCGTACATACATACATTCATATATATATATATATATATATATATCAATCAATCAATCAATGCTCTGAGGGGCAGTGTTCCACAAGTCAGCACATCAAAAACGAGTGTGTTGGTCACTCTGACCAGCACCCTTAGAAGATCATATAATTTGGCTGGCTTTCTAACCTTACCCTGAGGGCCTACTGTTTAGGGATGAGCTGCATGTGCTGGGGGGATACCCTCGGGCAGTCTGCAGCGCCCTGTGGTGGGGGACTTAGGGGCTGCCCTGCACCACACAGGCAACAAGAATCCGCTGAAGCAGTGACTCCACTCAGGGGGAAACGGCGATTTCAGCAGGCAGGCTTTTCTTTCCCAGGCGTGGTCAATCCACTGGGACGCCGCCTCGGCCTGCATCACCAGGTGGAGCCCCCGAAGGGGCAAGACCCGAAGGTCGACCACCAGGTGGCACAAGCCTTGGCGCCGCCCAGGCATTGACCCCGCCAGCGAGGAGGGGAAGAAGGGGAGCGAACACTCGCACATGACCAAAACTGCGACCGTGTACGGGTCAGGGCGTCGACGTCGCAAAGCGTCTCAGTACAGCATGCCCACGACAGCCGTCTCGCAAAAAGGAGTTGCCATCTGTGTTGTCAATGCCTCCGAGTCCTCATTGTGCTAGCAGCCACCCTCGGTCGCGGCGCAATCGAAGTCGTCAAAGTGATTGTCGTGCATGGCCCACCCCCCAAGGTGCAGCTACACCGCTCAGAGCAGGTGTCCAGACTTTAGCCGCATTGCGGGCCGAGGGGGGTGGGCAATCTCAGATGAACATCCAAGACACGTGATATCTAATTCAACTCTGGCGCACTCTCTCCGAAGCCATGTGAAAACCTTAGTGCTTGGTTCGGCGTCGTACGGGGTCCACCGTCATCGATGCTGTGGCCTGGCGAAGAGCTGTTTCCAGAGGTACCAGCCGTCGTCTGACTAGGTCGAGCAATCGCTGAGAATGGCGGCCTATGATGTTCTCCTGGCTGGCTGTCATCCTCACTGTCCGCTGCCCTTCGCCTTGCCTTTCTTGTTGCCCTCGAACTCGTCCAGCAGCTGCTGCGCCGCTCGCTCGAGAGGGCCGCGCGGCGCGGGCCCCCTCTTGATCTGGCCCTGCCTGCGGCAGAGCTCCGAGACCAGCGCGTCCTGCACCTCCGAGTGTTTGGCGGGGAGTGCCAGCGAGAGCTTCACCATGCCTTTCTTGTTCTCCTTGGGCTTCGTGGGTCTGCACTTGCAGTGCAGTACTGCTGCTTGCACCTCCGTCGCTCCCTTGCCCTTGATGTGTGCCATCCAGAACGCCAGGATGAGGTCTTTCGTCCACTGCTCGCACGGTTCCTGATTGATGCCCATCACCATGGCCATGAAGATGTGCACGTACGGTGGGCCCAACTCTTCGAGGCCCTTCTCGTCGTTCTTGGACTTGAGCGCCTGGACCGTCTCGTGGTAGGTCTGCCCTGCGGCCTTCATGGCCGCCGCGACGGCGCCGTCGATGGGCAGGAGTAGGCAGATGAACACGATCCCTGCGATGTCGCGTAGCTCTGCCGCGTTGGTCAACGCCAGCCTGGCGAGGACGGTAACGAGGCGACCGAGAACGTTGTCGCCCTTGCCGTTCCCCTGGACCAGCGCCTCGACGGTGCGCTGCTGCTTCTTCCTCCTGGCGTCGTCGCCCTCGCCGTCGGCCTGCTTGTGCTTCAGCGCGAACTTGGCGGGCTCGAGTTCCATGTTGTTCGTCCCGTCGTAGCAGGTCGAGCGGAGGCGCGTGGCTCTGCAGGTGCTTCTGGAGAGCCTCAAAGCTCGAGCATTCGTGGCTACAGATGTGGCATGTGCGCAGATCAGGATGTGAGCGTCCTCCAAGGTAGGGGGATCTACACTTGCATACGCCGCCTCTCTTCACACTGAGGGCCACATGCTTCTGCGCCGCCGCCACAGAGCCATACACTCCCAGGCACCAGGGGCAGGTGTTTGTTATCACCGTACAAGTCCAGGGATCCCGAAGCCCATGTTTTTGTAATCGATGCTGGTTGACCGACTTGAATGAAGTGAAAGTTTCCGTGCATAGGCTCTCGTCCTCGTTTTTGCAGCCACACACCCAAGTCGGTTCTTGCTTGTTTTCCGTCTCTATTGTTGCCTCGATGACGGGGACCTGGGAGGGAGCCCATCCTGGTGGAGGTATCGCACACGCATAGGCTCCTTCGCGCAGTCGAGAGAAGTCGAGGGCCCCGAAAGCCTCAGCGAGGTCCGCGTCTCTGAAGAGCCTCAGAAAGCCTCCCTCCAGCTCCTCCTTTAACCACATCGTGTCGTCCCCCATCGCCTCCAACCCTTCCAAGATGTCCTCCTTCACCCTCCTGGCCCACGGATTGACCTGGTCCCCCATCTTCAAGTCGTCCCCCGCAATCGTCGAGTACTTTTCGAAAGGATACTTTCCGAAGATCGCCGTGAGCTCGTGATCGTGGTGATGGGGCCTACTCGCTATTCGCTGGAGTCGTTTAAGTCGTCGCACTCGTGCCTCCAGCTTAGTCGGGGCCATCCTCCAGTACTTCAGAACCTCTGACGTCGACATATGTTTGTGCTTTTGCTCGCCCTCCGCTGTTGTCACGGTCGAGTGAGCAGCTCCGCGCATCGCCCTGCGTGCAAATCTGGCCACGAGCTTGTCTAACTCCTGCCAGTTGGCCTCCGCGAGGCAAAAGGCCTCGTTGCCCGACAGCGCTGCGTTCTGTACACAGCAGATGAGCAGGCCTCGGCGGACCTTCCACGGCGTGCGCTTCAAACTCCAAAATCTACCAAGTGCAAAATAAGCCTGTTCCACTGCCTTTCGCCGTTTTTAAAACTCTTCCCCGAACTTACCGTTTACGTGCAGCTGAGCTCCTAGGTACCGGGCGTGAGGTTTAAACTTAGCTGGCAGACGGACCCTCCCCGAACGGAGATCCCGAGCATCGTTAGTCGAGCCGCATCCAGCGAAGGCAGGGAGAATTTCTTGTTTGTCCCGATTCTGCCTACAGCTAATTGTCTCCAGCGCGCTATCTAGAGTGCTGTTCTCCAGAAAGCTTCGCTGGGCCAGCGATGCCAGAGACTCCGTGTCTTCGGCGACTAAAGATTTCAACAAGTCATCTGCATATTGGCACAACGAGAGATCCACATCTCTGTTGGTGAACGGGCTCTCTGCTATGCAGTTACCTACGTCGCTGCCAGTTTGCTTCATTTTGTGTTGCCAGTTGTTCACACCTCTCTGGAAGGCAAGGAGAAACAAGCGCACCACGTACGGGTCCCCCATAAACGCCCCACAACCAATCCGAAACATCACCTTGCCTTCCTCGCCTGGCAACTGGACCACTGCTTCGTGATACCTCTGGCGTCCGAATTGTTCTAAGTCTTCCAGCATCAGCTCTACCTGAGTGGAGTCAAACTCGTCCCAAGAGACGCTGCCGAAAGCATTACTTAAATCATGAAGGTGTGTGATACTTGTGCGTCCTTGTCTGCGCGCGCGCCACATTGTACACTGTGCTACTGTAATCGCCGCCTCCTTTGAGCGGCCCTCTAGAAAACCGTGCACCTGTGCCTGCATCTTGGGGGCTACACTCTGTATAGCGTACCAGCCCTTGCCTAAAGGGGCCAGAAGGTGAACCGTCCTAGTGCCGTCTGCTGTCCCCCCCGACGTGCGAGCCTCTTTAGACTTGGGGAGGGTGATTCCCTGACTAAGGTGCCAGTAGCTGGGGGTCCTACCAGATTGCCTAATTCTGAGCAGACCGTCCTCCAGAACAGCTCGGAAAAGCAGGGCACTCACGGGGTCTTCAGGGGCGCCGAGTCCTCTATGCCCCTTCCTCGGGTGAGCCTCAGGATTCGGATTCAAGAGAATGGCCAGGAGCTCCAAGGGGGCTGCCCATGGTGGTTGTGTCCGTCTTTTTGGGGCCCTTTTCACCCAACGCTCCAGCCGCCGAAGATCACGAGCCGCTGCCCGTCGAAGGTGTTCGTCCAGTGCTGCTGGCTCGGCACCCTGAGGTTGTCGCTCACTGCGCCAATGATCCCAGTCGTGCATCTGTGTCGCCTGCATGCCTCCGTCTGGTCCCGCCCGTGTCCAGTGTGCTGCCCATTTGTCTGCTGTAAGTCCCAGGGCCTTTACCGTCAGGAAATGTCTCTTTTTTACGCCGTACTTGGTGTTCGCCGCTCTCCGTGTAAGTCTGTGTACTTCTGCCATATTACGAACGCGCCAATGTGCCCATATCTGGTCCAGCAGGTCCTCCTGGTAAGCTTTCCACTCAATTTCTCGCTCCTTCTTCATGTAAGCCGAAAGTTTTTTGAGTCCCTCCACCACTTCGTGTTCTTCCATTTCCGAGCTCTCATCATGCCGAAGTCTAAAGCCGCGTCGTGCTTTGAGTAAAATCATGCGTCTCTCCCTTAGGGCTTGATATCGTTCATCTCGCTCAGGTTCCCGTGAGAAATATTGTTGTCCAACTTCAATTAATAACTGCTCCGTCTTTTCGAAGAGGTAATCCGCCGACGTACGATTGGCCAAGTCCAGCAGCTCGTCCCAGTTCTGGTCAAGCGTGGCCCCCATGTCCTCAACGAAGGCCCGCTTGCGCTCCATGTCCATGCCCACGTACGCCTGCATCATGGTTTCCGCATTCCACTTTGGTGAGTTGTCCTGCTTGCGCTGCTCGCTGATAGAGGGCATGCAAAGGTTAACATGTACTGGCAAATGATCTCGTCGCTGTTTGCTCGGTATCTTCTGCATTGCTCTGCCAAGCCTCGCCAACGGTCCGCAACTTGTCTCCCATTTTTCCAGCGCCGTCGGTATGCAGATGTAGTCCACGAGCGACGAGTTATCGCAGTTACCGTACCAGGTGTCGTCAGCCTTCTGCATAGTCGTGGCCACCATGTGGTGTCCTTCCAGGATCTCCCGAAATCTGCGTCCAGCATAGTGTTCTCGTCGCGACCCTGGGCGGTGAATAGCCGTGCTGTCCCTGAACTCCGTCCCCTTGCCGTTCTCCGTGACCGTTTGGCCCATGCCGTCGTTGAGGTCCAAGCAAATGATGGGGGAGCTTCGGCTCGGGGTTTGTTGTAAGACTTCCTGCAGCCAATCCATCAACATGTCAACGCATTTCTCATATGTCGATCGGGTTTCCAACTTGGTCGGTCGTGGCGGCACATAGAGGCCTATCAGCGTGAAGTCGAACTGTCTTGATGCCAGTCGCACTGCTAGGCCCCGTCCTGCGCACTGTTCTGGTGCCGCCATCGCCCGTCGTAGGTGTCGAGGTTTGAATTTGTTGCCGAAACTGAAGAGCACACCTGCAGACTTGTTGCTGTAGCTGGCTCGTTTCCATCCACTCTCAATGCGCCATCGCTCTCCAGCTCGCTGTTGCTGAAGTGGTAGGTCGCACCGACGCTGTGTGCCTATCAGGCCGACGAAGTCGTAGCCCTCGCAGGCGGTCTCTATGTCGTCCAACCTCTCCGTCTCGCGCGCCGTCAGCGGGTTGTAGTGCAGAAACCTCCACGAGGCCCTGCGCACAGGCGCAGCCTCGGTCTCCGCCGACTGCGCCGCCACGCCCTGGGTGATCGCCGCCAGCAGCTTTTGAGAAAGCCTTGGTAGGGTGGTCGGACGTGCCGCATGGGCACAGCTTTGGCCGCCTGGCCGAAGGTCTAAACCAGTATGGCGGCTATATATATATATATATATATATATATACATGTATAGCTATATCCGCGATGCTCCGATATCTGTATACATAAATATAAATCTCTGATACTATATATAATACCTATAACTATACAAGTCTCTGATCATCTATACTATATAATTGTACCAGTCTCTGATAATGTATAAATATATCCGTCTCTGATAATTTGTATATATAAATGCGTATATAAATGTGTGTATGTGTGTATGATCAGAGGCTGTGGAACCTCCTGCAGGCGGGTGGTCGGGCCGCGCGGTGCTTTCCGCAAGCTGCGCCTCGCCGAGAGCCCCGGACATGACCTCCCGGGCGGCCGCCCGAGGCTCGGGCCTCGCCCGGAACGCGGGTCCGCTGAGGCGGAGGAGCGAAGAGGGGGAGCGGGGGGGAGAACTGCGACGCGTGTCGTCAGTCGTCTGTCGTCCCCGTCGTCGTGTCGTGTCGTCTGTCGTTGTCGTGCTGTCGTGTCGATTGTCGTTGTCGTGTCGTCGGTCCTCCCCGTCGTCGTGTCGCGTCGTGTCCTTACTCTTGTCACGGGGCTCTTCTTGCGCTTGTGAAAAAGTGTGTGCCCCCCTCGCGGTTTTCCCTTAGCCACGGGGCGACCTCTCGCGCAGGTAAAAAAGTGTGCCCCCCTCGCGGGCCTCCCGGAGCGGGGGCGCAATGCGACACCCCGTGCGGGAAACACGGAACAAAAAGGAAGCCGTGGGCGAGCGGCGGGAGCACTGCCGGACAATCCTCCGAGGAGGCAGGCAGGTCGAGCCCGATGGCCCCAGCCAGGCCGACCAGCCAGGGGCCCAAGCAGCCCAACCAGCCCGCCAGCTACAGTCGGGGCGTTGACCTAAGGAACCCCAAATAAGGAACGAGGGCCCCTTTTCCCATCAGTTAAACTCCGACTTCCCATGGAGAACCTCAGGAAAATCCAAGGCAAACTGTAAAACAATCAAGGAACACCGAGCCCCTCCCCAACGAAAAGGGTTCCTTATTCAGCGCCCCGCCAGCTAGCCCAACCAGCCACCCCGCCAACCCCCGTCACCTGCCCTCCGTCACCACCGAGCGGGGGGGGAAATTGCTCCTCACGGGCGGGAAGGGACAACTCGCAGGCACTGGGCCTGGCGGGGCAGCGGAGCGCGGCACAGTCGCACCGCGGCGTGGCGGGCAGGGCTTCGCGCCGGGGCGTGCCAGAGACGGTCTCGGCCCTCGAGTGCGACACCGCCGTCACTTGCTTTCTCACCTGCGTGGAGGGTCCGGCGGCACGGCCACTGGAGCCCGATTTGCCCAGCAGCGTGGGGTCCGCCCCCCTGGGCGGACTCCCTTGGGTGCGCTTGCTCACGCGCAGAGCTTCCATCCTCGACACCGTCGTAATTTTTTCTACTCCTGGGAGGGCTAAAATTCGACACCGCTCACGAGGATTCTGGCCCCGACGGGGGGGGGGAGAAAAGTGCTCGCCCCATCTGTGATCGATCGCCCGACAGATGGCCCCAAGATTCCTCCCAGACCCCTCCCAAAGAGCCCCAAGAGGCCCCAAGAGGCCTCCAAGAGGCCCCCAAGATGCCCCCAAGAGGCCCCCAAGAGGCCCCAAGAGGCTCCCCCGAGGCACCCAAGACGCTCCTGGAAGCCCCTGGGGCCGCCAAGAGGCCCCCAAGACGCCCCAAACGGCCTCCAAGAGGCTCCCAAGAGGCCCGAAGAGGCTCCCCCAAGGCACCCAAGACGCTCCTAGAAGCCCCTGGGGCCGCCAAGAGGCCCCCAAGACGCCCCAAAAGGCCTCCAAGAGGCTCCCAAAAGACATCTACTACTACTACTACTACTACTACTACTACTACTACTACTACTACTACTACTACTACTACTACTACTACTACTACTACTACTACTACTACTACTACTACTACTACTACTACTACTACTACTACTACTACTACTACTACTACTACTACTACTACTACTACTACTACTACTACTACTACTACTACTACTACTACTACTACTACTACTACTACTACTACTACTACTACTACTACTACTACTACTACTACTACTACTACTACTACTACTACTACTACTACTACTACTACTACTACTACTACTACTACTACTACTCCTACTACGAGGGGCCCGAACGACTTGCACCAGGACGAGGTGCCCGAACGCCTCACGCAACGAGGAGCCCGAACGACTCACACCAGGACGAGGGGCCCGAACGACTCACACCACGAAGAGCCCGAACGACTCACACCAGAAGGAGGGGCCCGAACGACTCACACCAGGACGAGGCGCCCGAACGACTCACACCACGAGGAGCCCGAACGACTCACACCACGACGAGGGCCCCGAACGACTCACACCACGAGGAGCCCGAACGAGTCACACCAGGAGGAGGGGCCCGAACGACTCACACCAGGACGAGGGGCCCGAACAACTCACACCACGAGAAGCCCGAACGACTCACACCAGGACGAAGAGCCCGAACGACTCACACCACGAAGAGCCCGAACGACTCACACCAGGAAGAAGGGCCCGAACGACTCACACCAGGACGAGAAACCCCGAACGACTCAAACCACGAGGAGCTCTTTCTCTCCCTCCTCCTCCGCCTCGTCCTTCTCCCGCTCCCACCACAAGGAGGATGTACAAGGAGGCGGGAGGAAGGAGGAACAGGGGAGATATGCGGAGGCAGGCGGCAACACGCCTGAAAAACACGACTGTCGGCATGCTTCGCAAGAGTTGCTGTTTTGAGATGGGCTGGTGGGGATACGCGAAGCGTGAAGAATTTGTGTAGGCCCCCCGCGCGGGCCTCCTCCGAGGGTCTGGCGTCGCTAACACGGGTGTCAAACCGCACAGCAACGGTTCGGGGACCTCCCTTTCGTAAAACGTGGTTTAGTGAAAACGACCTGAGGCCCAAACCTGGCGGGCGCAGGCCTGGGAAATAACGGCCACGGCGCCCTCTCGAGAACCGAAAACGGACAATTCGCTAATCGACGTGTCACTGTTGGGGGTTTTGTCCACCCCCGAACGGTGGGGGGGCCGCTCCTCAGAGGGGGCATCCTCGGGTGAGGCTGCTCAACGAAGGCCCGGCGGGGCGGTCATGGGAGGCCCACACCAGGCGGTGGGGGAACGCCGCTGCCGCGCGGCGACGACGGCGGCGGCCACGACGACGACCACGCCACGACGACCGCCAAGCCGACGACGCTTACGCTGACGCCAGCGGCGGCCAGTTATGCCGACGATCCGGCGGCGGCGGCTGGCGCGCGCGTCCGCGCTCGCGCGCCGCGTCCTGCTCCCGCAGCTCCTTGAGCATGGCGAGCACCCTCCCCTCTCGCAGCTTCACGGCGCCCGCCGCCTCAAAGTCCTCGGCCTGCGGGCGGCGCGCCAGCCGATCGCCCAGAGACGACCGCGACGAGCCGGCACCGCCGCCGCGGCGGCGGACACGGCGGCGGCGACGGCGGCGACCACCACCACTCCCGCGACAGCGACGGCGGCGGCGACGGCGACGACGGTGGCGGCGACGGCGGCCTGCCACGGCGGCGGGCGGCGACGGCGGCGGCGACGGCGGCGACGACCACGACGACGACCGACGCCGCCCCCCCTGCGGGCGAGGCGGCAGGGCCGGGAAGGGGCGCCCCTCGCCCAGGCACGCGCACGCGGGGGATTGCCGCCGAGGAGCGCCCCGAGGACCACGCCCCCCCTCCCGGGCCCGTGCGCGCGGGAGGGCGGGCCTCGCGAGGCGGCCGTGCCGACGCCGGCGGGGGCCAGGCCGCGCCAGGCCAGGCCGCGCCAGGGGGTCGCGGAGTCCTCGGCGCGGGGCGTCGCCAGCCGCCAGGTGCGCGACGCGCGCGCCCGGCGGGCCAGCAGGCGCAAGCCGTGCGCTCTGCGCGCCGCCGCGCCCGCGCACGCGGCAGCACACCTGGGGAGAGGCGCCCAGGACCGCGCTCGACGGGGGCCCCCTCCCTCCCTCCCTCCCTCCTCTCCGCGGGGGGCAGGCCGCCCCTCGCCCAGCGCGCGCGCTGGGGTGCCGCCGAACTGGGCTCGACTGGGCTCTGGACCCGGGCCGGGCTCGACTGGGCTCTGGGGCGCCGCCGGGCTGGGCGCGCTGGGGTGCGCGTGCGCGCGGACCGCGCTCGACTGCAGGCTCTGGAGGAGCGCGCGCGCGAAAGAGCAGGCGCCGTAATTAGCACCCCCTCCGTGCCCCTTTCCTCCCCCGGGCACTCGTCGCGCCGTGGGAGGAGATCAGTAACAACGAAGCTTGCACTCAGGCTCGGGCAGGTGATGAAGGGGGGGACCTGAAGGGGGGGTGAAGAAAAGGGCCCGCAAGAGGCCCTTCAGGGCCCCTCCTGTGGGCCTCTGCTGTGTCCAAAAGGAAGGACCCCTTTGGGGCCCTTTCCTTCACCCCCCATTCAAGTCTCCCCCCCATTACCACCCGCCCGATAGGGTAGGAGGCGCGCCGGGGGGGAACTGAGAAGGGGCGGGCCTTCTCAGAAGGCTCGGATGCTCCCGTCTGGGAAGATTTCTAAGCCTTCCCCGAAAACGCAAAAAATATCAGAAGGCTGGGGGGCTTCTGAGAAGACCCGCCGTCTTCTGAGGAGGCCTTTTCCCTTTCACTTCCCCCCCTCGCTCGCCGCCGATAGGGGCCCTCGCTCCGGGGAGTAGCGGTACTCCCAGGACCTCACCCAGGGCGCTCTCTGACCAGGATTTCGAGGCGACTCCAGCGGTGGCGACGAAGGCCGCACTGGGAGAGTTTCAGCAGGGGCCACGACCAAGGGGGCACAGTCGACCCGCACAGCAAAGAGAGGCTGAAGTCGGGCCTGTCCTTCTACAGGGGAGATATTCAAAAATAGTAAGAAAGTAGTCTGGGGACGATGTTGGACTATTTTGCCCATCGGGGGGGGGGGTACCTTTTTAGTAAACCGGCGGGA